GGGGGGGGGGGAAAGTGTGCTGCCTAGTCTTAACGAGACTGGCATTAAGCTGCTAGTTGGAAAATCCAAGAGTTGTTTTCCTTACCATCACTGGAGTTGTCCCAGAAGCAAGAGCTTGCTGTATGTAGCCCAGCACCATTCTTTTGCATAATCACACAGGTCACTGTTAGTCAGTAGAGAAGCTCTGATTAATTTCTCACACACATTAATTACATTTAGCTCCATTTTTGCTCAGCTTAGCACACACATACACAAGCAAACATGCATGCTTGTGAGCAGTTTACAGACAAGGCTCTTCCTAAGATCTTTCCCCACCCCTGCCTACATGTGCACGTGACTGTGCCAGCTTTCAGAGAAAAGGGGAAGCCGAGCTCACCGATGTACTTGAAGGGCTTCCCCAGCTTTGTGAGCTGGCTCAGGGTTTGTTCCACCACGCTCGTTGTCCACTGGTTCACTTTGCTGTGCTGGTAGGCGTTGCCACCGATAGCGCCCTCTATGGCCTGCGGGGGACAAGCAGGTGAGGGAGCTGCACCGCTGGCAACTGCCGGGCACACATTAACCCTTCCCAACATGGACCCATTCCCACAGAAAAATCCCAAATACTGCTGCTCCACACTGGCTCTTGGAGTGTTTTCAATTATTATAAACATGCAGGTCAGAGTCTGAGCCAGGCATAGGAGAAATCATCTTAGATCCCACCCTCTGTTCATTTTGTGATATCTAAGATTATTTGTAAAGTCCAACAGCCATAGTTATGAAAAGAGCCCTACATTGAAATAGTCCTGAAGAGAATTTAAAAAAGCACAGTAGTACAACAATTCATTCACATATATTCTTCTATGGAAATTAAATTCCAGTTTTAGAGCAGAATCATTTTTGGGAAACAAACCCCCAGACTAAAACAGAAGACCCATATAGTTGCTGGTTACTAACAGAGCATAAGCCTCCAGCCAAATAATCCATTTTTCTTATGAGGATAGTTTCCCTTTTAAGATATAAATAAAAGTACACTATACCTACATGTTTTTCATTGGCACATTTTTTCATCACAGAGATTGTTTTAAAAATAACCATAAAACTGAATTCAGAAGAGACAGGAGTCTGTATTAAAGCATGTCTATTCAATTTACAGAGTTTGGCCAAAATAGTTATTTCACAACAACAAAAAGACTGCACTAGTCTCCAAGAGGAATTTCAAATCCTGCTAGAAATTTTCTAGACAGAAAATTCATGTTTCTTAGCAACAAGAATGTTCAATCATTCCAAACAAACAAGAATTCACTTTGGAGAAAAGCATCTTGAAAGAACCCAGTAACACACATATGCAGACAGTCTACAAAAAACTCCTCTATTTTACTAAAACATAAAATCTATTTCTACAGTGTTTAACATAAAACATCCCCCTAGAAATTCTAATAGGAGTGCACTGCAACCAGAGAGGAGTGTATGAAATTACTTTAAATGTCTCTTGGATTTGTAACATATATCACAGCTAAAGCTTGGTATCATTTCCACTGAGGTCTACACACTGGTTAAATCCACAGTTACCTGTTCTTGGACAGCAACCTATCCAGGAATCTATTACCTATCAGTTATCACATTTTACTGAATGCCTTTTAGTACACATCATACAACATATCAAATTTCCACACCAAAAAAGTGAAAATGTTTAAATTACCTCTTTAATGATGCTGCTGACTTCATCAACAAGAAAGGCAGCCTACAAAAGAGAAAGAAGAATTTTAAATAATGAGGGGACACATTCTTCTGTTTATGATGTTTAAGCTCTGTTAAGAACATGCACTAGAAGTTTAATTTATCCTTGTCAGATTTCTGGCAAGTCAAAAGATACCAAGTCTGCCTTTATTTGCATATATATGTACTCTAGCTCCTTCAGCCCAGTCAAGTTCACTTCTTAGAAAAGTAAGAGATGAACTGATATTGGCTGGCCTTTTGAGTAAAGAAAGCTTTCAAATTTTAACTTGGAGACATTTGAAAATAACAAGTATGACACTTGTGTTCACATCTATTCCCCTTTCTCCAAAGCAGTGATGTTCTCACATCACAGTGGGCTCACAGAGGAGCCTCAGCTGGCAGCTAAACAGAACCGACATCTCCGGGGCACCGGTGTGGGCAGGATCTCAGTTCAGAGCTGAAGGAAAAACTGTCCTGACAGGCTCAGCCTAGGGTAGGAAAGCTGCCCCTGGGAAACCAAAGGGGAAATGTAGCTCACTGCACCTTCAGCTTTCAGGGAGCAGAGATTAAGCACGTGGAATCAGACAGCAAAGTCCCCAGCATTTTACTGATCTCCAGACTACCATCCATTTCCATGTAGGGTTAGTGGTTTGTGTGCTCTTGTTTTATTCCCTCTGCTCCTGCTGCCTCCCATGTCAGGGGGGAGAACAAGCAGCCACTCAAGGGCCAGGGAGCAGTGACTGCTCACAGCCCACCCTGCCACTGCTGGTGTCTCAGCCTCACCTCACAAACCAGCACTAAAGAACAGCACTAAAGCCAAACTGACTGATTCCAGAAGACCCAGTAAGAATGTAAAGATGAACATAATGCATCCAAATGTTGATGGATTTTCACTGGGAGGTCAGTCAGCTTCCCCAGTGACAGAAACAAACAACACTGTAATTCAGGATGCAGTTACACCAGTCTATCCAGCTTCAATGACATGTGATAGTCAGAAAGATGAGAGAAGTTGTTCATTCCCCACAACAGAAGGAACAGCACATCCTGGGAGACAAGCTGGGCAGTTCCTTTTCTGTACCCATCTAGAAGTACAATTCAACATTTTAAAAAGCTTTTATGTGCTGTGGCTAATTGCTTTTTATTTTCAGCATCTTGACTTGCATTTAATTTTAACATGCCTCATTTATTTTCATGGTATACTGCATTTTACAGGTGCTTACATTTTAAGGTGCACCAGTGCATTTAACCAAGTAAGAGCTACAATTATCAAAAAACACTCTCTCCCACAAAGTTTAAGAATATGCATGGCAGACGTGCTATGCTGGCAGACATGAAGACTGCTGTCAAGCAAGATGATAAACCACATACAGTTTTCTTCTTCACAAAATCTGCTCAGAAATGCCTGAGTGAGTACAAACATGGTTCACACCAAAGTGACATGACTTAAATTCAACCCAAGTTCTCAAAGGTATTCTGAAATCTAATTTGTACTGAAACAATAGAGAGATCTGAGAATTCACTTCTAGGGCTGATGTCACTTTTCAACCATCTTCCTTTCTTGGAATGACAAAAATGAACATAAATTTCTGATATCCAGATTTGGGATACATGTGCTGTAACTGGACTATGAAATAACACAACACTACCCGGTTTATCGTTATGTCATCTTTTAATAAGCAAATTTTAATAAGAAAATATTTCCTTATGTCATCTTTTAATAAGATGACATAAAAACTTTTTTGTATTAAAAAATAAAGGAGGAAAGAATCGGTTACTTTGCAGTTTCCCTGCCCCTACCTCTCTGGCACAAAGCAAGCAGCCAATGTTTCCAACACCTTGTTTAAAAAGGGTGCTCCCAAGCAACACATGCAAACTGCAGAGCAGTACTATAGCCTATAATAATTCTGAAGACCTTTTTGTAAACAGCTGTAAGAATTATGTTCAAGTATGTTAATTATATATTGAAAAAAAACCCGGTCTGTGACAGTAACACAGGCCAGGCCCTGGACGAGGCTTTTAGAACAGGACAAGCCTGACACACCTTGGCCCCTCTCGCTGCTTCGCTATTGTGTCACACCGCGGCTGTTTGACAGTGCAGCAGCTCAGTGCCCCTGTCCCTGAGCTCAGTGACACTGTCCCTCTGCAAAAGCAGCACTGGCTGCTTCCTCCTCCCTAGCGGGGGGACATCAGGGGGTCATTGGGCATGATAACAGATTGAGACTCTTGATTTATCCCACTCGGGGATGTGAATGGGGTGTGAGCCCCTCCAGTGTGCCGTAACACGCAGACGAGAGGTTGGACTCCTGTTTCCGCACAGAAACAGCCTGCTCGAGTTCTGCTCGGGCCCGAACAGCACCGGCCGCCCTCCCAGCACGGCGCTCGGCTGTTCCTGCGGGGCCAGCCCGCGGCCACCACACCCCTCACACCTTTTCCCCGAGGGACCGCAGCAGCAAGGGTAGAAACCGGAGCGGAGGAGCCCAGTGAACACCCGGATAGGGACCTGCTCCCGGGGGCGACAGAACAAAGGCCGGGCCCATCTGCCGCCGGTGCCGGGACACGCGGCTCCACCCTGGGGGAGGGCGACAGGGATGGCGGCGGGGGACGCCGAGGGGTGGGACCCGGGGCGGACGGGCACCGCCTGAGACCCTCCGCTGGCCCTGAAAGGAGACGCCAGGCGGGAAGCTGCGCTCCGCCTGCTCCCCATGCCGTACCTCCTCAGCCGCCTGGAACTCGTCCATCTTCCCGGCGGATCCCCTCTCGCCGCCACCGACCCCGCCACCGGCACTGGCACCGCCCCCGCGCCGCTGCGCCCCTCGCCGGCCACCGCCCGCACTGCGCCTGCGCACCAGCGCCCGCCGCCGCTGGGCTCGGCCCGGCGCCCGCCAAGATGGCGCCGTTGCCACAGCGACAGCGGCCGGGAGTCGGGCGGGAGATGGCGCTCGGCGGGGCGGCTGTGGTGCTGTCACACATCCCAGAGCCTGTGGCTGAGAGAGGCAGGGGGCCGCTTGTCATCTCTGTGCTTTTCGTACCGATAGCTTGGCATTCGTGTTCAGCCATCCGAGAGGTCCTTCCCTGGGAAGTCTTTCCCTGAGTGATCCTCATCCGCTCCCCAGGGAGGGAAGGAGGATCTGCTTCTTGTTTCTGGAAACAGCTTATAAAGAAGGCCTAGGTCACAAACTGAAAAAATTAAAAAGTAGAAAAACTCTCGCTGTCTTTTAATTATATTCCCCCCCCACCCTGCGCCCAGGAGGGAAATGACAGGGCAGCTGTGGTGGGTATCCGACATTCAGACAGGGTCAGCCCACCACAGAAGAATATCTGAATTCTTAGAGTTCTAAGCAGATCACATGATTTTTAGCAGACACAGCAAGGACCGGGAGAATGAAATTAAAGGGCACCCTTGTCACAGTTCCTGGATGTTGTGGGTGTGTGGTGGTTACAGGTTGCCCGAATCAGTGATGCTCCCAGCCCCTGAGAGCTGCTCCGGGCACTGGTCAGGCTCAGAGGGGCCTGGATGAACTGCAGAATGAGCCTGGATGGAGGAAGAAATAACTTACTGGGGACAAGTACAAAGAGCTGTATGGAGGCTGGAATAACCAGCTCTACAAGTGCAGTTCAACTCACTCAGTAGCTGTTCCATAGACATGTGAAGTAGGGAGGTGTTTAGGTACAATTTATCTCAATTTCTCATATGGTGCTGTTTTAAAAAATATGGGAAAAAATTTAAAAAGAGGACGTAGAGCCTGGAAGCAGTATTCCTATTGCCCTCTCTGCAGTACGGCTGCACAAGGAATACTGTGTCCAGTTTTGGGCATTGTATTTCAAGAAGGTTGAGGGAGTTACAGCTCCTGACTGAGCAGTTTTGGTCCAGTCTCCAGTCCTTTGTCAGGCTCTGCCTGCTGTTTTTCCTGAAAAAGGAGACCCTGACCAGCCACCTGACTTTGGGGCTCTGTGGTCTCCCTGCGGGCAGCACCAGCTCCGCTTGCTCTGGAGGGATGCAGTGGGAGTGCAGCTGGGTGCTGAGCACATCCTCAGCCCCATTCCAAGTCTTGTGCTTGCTGCTTCCAAAAAGCAGAGACAAAAAGTGAGGACTATGGGAAGAGTGAACAAGTGGTACTTGTTTGAACCAAAGCATAAACGGTTGTATATTTGGGTATATCCCTAGCATGTATAAAATACTGCAGCAGTTTTCCAGGTCCAGGGATGAGAGGGAAAATTACAAGGACTTAAATATATGGCAATTAAGGAAGCTGGTAGTAGGGCTAATATTCCACAGTCTGGATTTGGGATACAGTTTATCTGTCACTGTGGGTAGTTAGAATCCTCAGGTTGCTTTTGGCGTCTCATTCAGTTCAAGTTTTGCCCATAATTAAGGCCCAAATTATCCAAATATGGTGCATATGTGCGTAGCTCTATGCCCCACTAACAGCTGCTTTCTCTTCCATGATGCAGTTGAAGAAGGTAATTAAACTTGACATACACAGGTGGAAATGTTTGAACCTATTTAGCTTGATGCGGTTATAAAAATGCAGGCTCCTCACCTTTACTGTGAGAGTAGAATTGCTGTGCTTTGTTTCATTTTAACTGGAAATTACAACTCTTAAAACACCTGAAGCAGTTAAGAAGGGCTTCTGTATCATATGCACAGTTTTGCAGAGCCAGGAACAAGAAAGGAGGTTGAGAATAACTGTAAGAATAACTTCTTTTTTTTTTTCTCCAGACTTAGAAATAATTGGTATGTAATTTTGAACTTCATTTCTCACACTTGATTCTGTGATAGACTTGACTTAAGACGTCCAATCTGAGTAGTGTTTTGACTTTCAATTGTTACCTGAGATCAGATTTCAAGTTGTGAGGTAAAATAACTTTCTTCTTCTTGCAGATGCATAAAAACTGACTTCTCTTGAATTTTTATCTATGCTAATTGCTTTATCTTATAGACCTAAGTAGAAAACTGTTTTGCTTTCAGGAAAGAACTGCTTATGATACAAATCAAGCTTTCTGTGCAAGTCCTGGAGACATTGAGGTTAGAAGCGTTTCACATTTACGGTGAAAAAGAAATATGTATAACTCAAAGCCACTTCTCTTCCTGTGTGTAGCTTGAACACTGACATATTTTGGTGTATCAGTCAGCTCTTGTAGTCTCTTGTGCTGAGTCTCCTTTTACTATTAGAAAAACAAATATCTTTGCTTGTTGCTGGTAACAAAACCAGAGATCTGGCAAAAGCTGTTGTAACACTGGAGCTCTTTGTGAGCACACTTGCTTTCATCTGTTTTGGTGTGCTCCTCTGAACATCCATCAGTGGTTTCGGTGCACAGAGGAAGGAAAGGGGGTGGAGAACAGCCCTCAGTTTTCTTGAAGGAGAGATAATTAAATAGTAAGACTGCTTCTCATCTTTTAAAAGCAGTTTACTTCCTGGTGTCTCTCTTTGATGGTTGCTGAAGAGGTAAGGACATCATTTTACTCTGTTCTGTATGACATAGCACAGGGGGATGCATTTTTGTTTACTGGCATGGTTTTTTTTTTCAAATTGGAAAAGGTTTCATGGAAAAACCATGCCTGCAACGTAGTTGTTTGTGTTGGGTTTAATTATTTGGTTTTATTTTTGCTCTGAATTCTGGGATGGGAAGTTATTAATATTAGAGTCTTAGTTTTGGGAAAGCATTATCAAAGAACTTAATAATTTTCATATATATATGTAGGCATGTAAAAACTAAACTGTTGCAACTAGGTAGTACCAAATAACACTTGTAATTTTCTTAGCTAAGAATGAATTTATGTGATTGGTCTCAGCAGAATAGAAAATGGCCACAAATTGCAGTAGCTTTTGGGACTAGTTTTACTCTAAATCTTCTTAATCTGTTCCTCACTACTGATGTGTCACAGTCATCTTCTGGGTTAATGGATAAAGTTATCCCATTATCTTAAGTAAATGAAGACTATGACTTTAGAAGATATGTTAATTTATAATTATTTAATTGCCATTGTTTTGTTGAAGCTTAAGGATCTGAAAGGAGATCAAGTAATACATTACTTGTAAAATTACTTTGAGGAAAATCTTGCTAAGCCAGTAATTTTTCAGTTTAAAAGCTTAAGAAATAAGCTGTTTTTGCAAACTTAATTCAGTGTAAGGTATGCTTTTTCCTTGATCTTCAGTGACAGAACTACATGCTATTTTGTCCTGATAGGAAAAAACATGGTTTTTTGAGGTTGTACTCTGTGCACGCATGAATTTCTCTCGAAAAGGGTAGCCCCATTTGTCATCCCTTATTCCTTACAATGGCTTTGGGATTTGTTATGATATTTTCAAGAAGTTACTGATCCATCTGCAAGGTGCCTGACCCTGCATTAATTTAAATACAAAATGTAATAATAAATAATGATGAATATATAATTTAAGAAGTGTTTCAACAGAATCTTTTTGTGAACATTGTGCTGAAAAGGAAGAAGTGGTATTTACTAAAGAGGTTGCTGCTACTTTTGGTTTTATGTAGAAGATGGTCAGCTTTGAGGTTAGCTGACTGTGCAAAGCAGCTAACTGGCTGGATTCGTTGGGTGAACATGAAAGCAGGGCATCCCTGAAGGTTTATGAGGCTTTTCCTGTCTAAGAGGGTCATTACTGGAAACACTTCTTTATTACTGCCAAAAAACTGCTCTAGTGCAGACAGCTTTGGTGTAAGAGAAGTTCTTATTTCACAATGGTAGAGAACTTTTCAGTCCAGTTTGAACACCTCTGTGAAATAATTACAAGTTCAAGTTTGTTGTGGTGCCAAGGATTAGCTCTCATTTTGGGGGTTGTAATACTTTTAATACTTTTATAATACTTTATTTATTCTTAAAGCTACCTCGTCATTCAGCTAGACTTTTTTAAAGAATTTGAAGGAGACATCAGATAGCAACTCTTTCTGTGCTTGCTTAACTGCAGGTATTGCTCTTTGTAATTATTTTACTGTGGCACATTGTTAATAGCTCTATAAGGCAGTAATGTATTTTCTGTAAGATCACCAGAGCAGGGTTTTGTTGGATCCACTTAGTATTGTCTGTCATGCAGTCAATTGCTGCTTTACTGGGATTTTCTGATTGTGTTCTGGATACGCCCGAAATCCTACAAGTTTATGGCAAATGTAGCTTACCCTGTAATGGATGTTTTGGTGTCCTGTGTAGGGCAGAGACACCAGAGTTTGTACTGACTCCTCTTTAGGTTATGCTGACTTAAATGGAGTCGATGGTTTTAAACATGCTCATCAATCTCAGGAGGTATTCATAAGGTAAAAGATAAAAGCGAGTGAAGGATGCAGGGACCTTTGAAAATGACCTATATTGTGTAAAAAAAAAAAAATTGCTCAGCCTTTTTATGTTTCAAATGAGTAATTTCCTGTGAAATTGCAGTTGGTAAGGAAATAAAACATGACTATGCCTATCTCTGTCTCTCTTGTTTCCACAGGAAACCAATCTTTTTTTTTTTTTTTTCTTGAACACAAGCTTCTGTGAGATGGTTTGTCCTTTTGGTGTCTGTTGGAGGGTTTAATGAAAAAATCCTCATAGACAAATGGAATGCAACCTGGTTATGTAGACATGTTTTCACTCTCTGCTTTTTCTGGTGGAAAATTAAGTAATTAATTGGGGCAAGCTGCATGTAAATTCCCTGCACTGACAGGAATGCATTCTCACTATATAGCTGAAGTTTTACTGAGTTCATTTGGTGGCTTAGCTGTTTGTTTTAAATTTAAACCTTAGTATTTGAAAATAATGATCCAGCAATGCAGAAGTTGGTCAGATTCTCAGCTGAGGTCCATCAGTGAAGCATCGATAACT